AGATGGAGGTGGACAGACTATAGCAGCCAGTGGAGAAGAGGCCTCAAGAACGTTCTGACAAGGCGACTTTATTCCCTCGGTGTTTCGGATGTGGAGGACGCCACAAGCGCTCCGACTGCCAGTTCCGCTCCGCCATTTGCCGGTCATGTGGCAGGCAAGGCCACATTGCCTCCATCTGTTTGGGTCGCCCGAAGGACAAGCCTTCAGAAGAATTGCTTCAGAAAGGTACCAGGGTCCCCAGCCAACATAGGGTGGGTTTCTGCACGTCGCACAGAAGCATTTTCAAAACAGAGGCTCATAGGTCACTTAGGAAGAAGCTTCACATTGACATAAGGTTGCAAGGGGTTCCCCTATCGATGGAGTTGGACACCGGATCCGCTTTATCGATTATCTCACAGGACACTTTTAAAAAGATTTGCTGTAGAAGCAGCCAGCGAGTTAAACTCAGGCCGTCGAATCTGATTCTCACTGACTTCCAGAATTCCCGAGTCAGCGTGAAGGGGGAAACCATGATCCAAAGTGCAGCATAGGAATTTCAAGGGATTCTTAGATGTGGTGGTAGTTGGGGGTGATCGTACGAGTCTCATTGGACTCGATTGGTTCGAGGCCCTGGGAATCCAAGTGACTGGATTTCACAGTCTGCAAACAACTGGCCTTGCAGAAGTTTGCAAGGAGTTTGCTGATGTGTCCAGTTCAGAGCTTGGCTCGTACAAGGGGCCTCCCATTTCCTTATGTTTAGACCCAGCCATTGCACCCATTAGGATTAAGCCTAGATGGGTGCCCTTCACATTGAAGAATAGAATCAATGCAGAGCTGGACAAGCTGCTCCAGCAGGGCATTTTAGAACCTTTGGACAGCAGTCCATGGGAAACCCCCATAGTAATGCCACTGAAGGCCAATGGAGAAGTCCAAATGTGTGCGGACTATAAGTATACACTTAACAAAGCCTTGCAGCAGCACTTGTACCCGGTGCCCGTGGTGAGCCACATTCTGGCTTCCCTCAAGAGACGCCGCATTTTTGCTAAACTTGACATGGCTCAGGCCTATCAACAATTACCAGTTGATGAGGCAACGGCTGCAGCCCAAACAATTGTAACGCACCGGGGAGCGTTTAAGTTAGAAGGCTGCAATTTGGGGTTAATGTAGCCCCTGGCATCTTCCAGAGTGTGATGGAGCACACGCTCCGCGATATTCCAGGTGTGTGCCAGTACTTTGATGATGTCCTCATCGCTGGGGAATCACCTGAAAATCTGGCTGAAAGGCTTAGAGCCGTCTTGCTGCGTTTCCGCCAAGCGGGGCTGAAGCTAAAGCAAGACAAATGTAAAATTGGGGTCACTTCAACAGAGTTTCTGGGGTTCCGTATTGATGCTGAGGACATCCATCCTGCTGAATCTAAGCTTAAAGCAATTCAGCAGGCCCCAAGTCCCAAGTCCAAAAGCGAACTCCAGGGTTTTCTGGGACTGTTAAACTTTTACCATTCATTCCTCCCTCACAAGGCTGCAGTGGCTGAGCCATTACACCGGCTCTTGGATAAACAGGCTCCATGGCTGTGGACAAAGGTCCACGAAAGGAGTTTTGCAGAGGTCAAGGCCTTGCTATCTTCAAATGCAGTTCTAGCGCATTTCAATGAGCAATTGCCTGTATGCATAGCCTGTGATGCATCCCCTTATGGGATTGGGGCTGTGTTGAGCCACTTGAAGGCTGATGGGACACAAGTCCCTGTAGCCTACTATTCCAGGACCCTATCATCTCCTGAACGTAATTACGCGCAGATAGATAGGGAAGCCTTGGCCATAGTGGCTGGCATAAAGAAATTCCATGACTTTCTTTATGGCCGTCATTGCACAGTCTTTACAGACCATAAGCCACTGTTGGGGTTGTTCACAACCAATAAGCAAACCCCACACATGATCTCTCCTAGAATGCTGAGATGGTCTATTTTTCTGTCTGCATATGACTACAAACTGGTTCACAAACCAGGCAAAGAAATGGGCCATGCAGATGGCCTCAGCAGATTACCTCTACAGTTAGTGGAGTCAGATCCTGCTCCAGCTCACCACATACTTTCTATTCAGGAGTTGCCTGAGTCTCCCCTCAATGCTAGGGACGTGGCTGCTGAAACAGCCACTGATCACACGCTTACATGCATGCTGACATGGGTGCTGTCAGGATGGCCTGACATGTATCCTGGCATAGAGTTCCAGAGTTTCTGGAAGAGGAAGTCCGAGTTATCCACCTTCAAGGGGTATATCCTATGGGGTAGCAGGGTAGTCATCCCGGCCTCATTGAGGACTAGAGTCTTGCAGTCTCTACATGAGAGACATCCCGGAATTGTCTGGACGAAGGCACTCATGCGCAGCCATCTTTGGTGGCCTGGGCTCGATAAAGAGATCGAGGCCCAGGTCCACGAGTACACAGTTTGCCAACAGTCCAGGCCTGAAATGCTTCAGGCCCCTGTACATAGGTGGGAGGAGACACAAGCCCCTTGGTCAAGGGTTCATATCGACTATGCTGGGCCCTTTCAGGGGCAATTCTTCCTTCTCGTGGACAGCCATTCCAAGTGGCTAGAGGTCATTCCAGTCTCCTCCACTACTACTGCTAGGACCATCCAGGTGTTGAGAGGGATCTTTGCCTCTCATGGACTTCCAGATGTCCTTGTCTCCGACAACGGACCACAATTCACTTCTTTTGAGTTTCAGGCTTTTCTACAGGCCAACATGATCCGTCATGCCACGTCTGCACCATTTCATCCAGCTTCTAATGGCCAGGCTGAGCGAATGGTGCGCACCACCAAAGATACGTTAAAGACAATAACTCATGGGAACTGGCATCACAGGTTGGCTGACTTTCTCTTCTCACACCGCACCACACCATGGACAGCCACTAGGAAGAGCCCAGCTGAACTCTGCTGGGGTCGCAGGCTCATTACTAAACTGGACAGGTTGCACCCAGACCGGGTGGCGTCACAGGTGTCACAGCCACGGGTACCTAGGAGACTTCAGATGGGTGATCCGGTCTGGACAAGGAACTATGGCCCCGGACATCTCTGGGTGACAGCAGTGGTATGCAAGTTCCCTGGGCCGCTCTCATACAAAGTGGCCTTGGACGATGGTCGAGTGATCCGGCGACACATCGATCAACTGCGCTGGAGGCTTCCCAGCCACACTTCCGCTCCTGGCTCTGCCCTCGGGGGGGAGAAGGACCACGATTACAATCATGGACCACAGTCTCTCCGCGAAAGCGGAACGTCCCAGGCACGAGAAGGGGATTTTGCCATGGAGGCGGCTCCTGACTCTGGCACTCCTGACTTGGGTACCAGGTCAACGGGACATTTCTCACAACCAGTCTGCCGGGCCTATCCAGCTGCTGGTCTTGGGCTCAAGGGACACTGCTCCCAAGAGGGGTCCATTGTGGACTTGGGGAATTCCACCCCACCACTGGACTTGGGGAATTTCACCCTACCAAGCAACTCTGGTTTGGGTTCAGAGGATCCAGCCAGTCAGCAGCAGGGGAGGTCACCTGAGGCTAGGGGGCATCACAGTCCTGGCTTGTCAGGCCTGGCAGGTGAGTTTGCAGGCCAGGACATCACAACCACTCCAAGAAGGTCAGAGCGAGCAAGAGGACCACCCAAACACTTACAAGACTACGTAAGATGCCTGTCAGCATGTGGACAGGTTTAAGGTCACTTAGAAATCAGAATGCGCTCAAAAGAACAAGTGTTCAGTTTTAGTCATGCATAATAGTAAATATCCTTGTAGGAGAGATAAAGGATTGATAAGGTATTATCTGTGTAATAGTAAAGTATTATGTTTTGAAATAAGAGGGGAGGGGTGTTATGTCCTGGGCCTGCTGAGGTGCACCTGGGCCTGCTGAGCAGCAGGTGCAGGAGGCTGCTGAAAGGCAGACACGTGAATGCCCGGGACCAGACAGGTGTTCTCCTGCCTTGCGTGCATGCGCAAGGCGGGAGAAATGCCTTGCACCTGGGCCTGCTGAGCAGCAGGTGCAGGAGGCTGCTGAAAGGCAGACACGTGAATGCCCGGGACCAGACAGGTGTTCTCCTGCCTTGCGTGCATGCGCAAGGCGGGAGAAATGCCTTGCATTGATTGGCTGTGACTGTCCCTGCAAGGGGGTATAAGAACAATCCGCGCCATTTTGTTTTGGTTCTGTTGGAGAAAATAAAGAGAAGACTGTTTTACTTCTTTGCCTTATTTCAATGCCTTTGTGAACAAAACAGAACAAGAACAGTGGTATTTTTTTTCCACATAATTGACAGTAAAATACCAGGAATGAATGTTGACCTTTTGTGGAAATTTCTAACACTTGTCTTCAGAATTATATTTTCATAATCTGTTTTACTCTATTTGTAGTATATTTATTTTAAACTTCCTAGACTGGTAAGACCAAGATAAGCCCTGATAATCAAACAATTAATCAATCACACCTACAATAAAAAAAAAAAGATAAAGATGTTATGTTTTGCTAGGAAGCCCTCAGGTCTTCCCTTGTAAATAATTTTCCAGCCTAGTTAAACTTCACTATCCTCAAAGAGAGCAAGACATTTTCCGCTGCTCATTTTGTAACAACATAGCATTTACTGTTTTGGTTGATGATCCTTCTATCTCTGTTGTCTTGCAGTCAGATGATGGTTTCTTAATTTTAGATGTTAACTTTCTCTAAACACCTGAAATTAAGACAGCATCATCTGGCTGCAAGACCATAAAAGAAAGAGATGGAAAGCTATTAATAGTTAATAACTCTTAAGCAAAACTATTAGTGACATCTTCTTGGTATTGCTGCCCTCTTGCTTTCTGGTGCCCAAATGCTGGCATTTAGTCACCTAGTCATCATAGCTTTGCTGTGATTGGCAGATAATTCTGACAGATGATTTCACTATGAGTTTAAGCAGCTATCAACATTCCATGAATCCATCAGACAACTTCTCTGCACAGTATGGAATTCCCAAATTAAATTCTTTTTTCCCCTCCTTTTTTCATCCACAGACAAAACCTCCATTTTATAAAATAGAAGATGTTCATGTGCCAATAGCCATGTGGAGTGGAGGAAAAGATATTGCTACAAAAAGAAGAAATATTGAATCATTGCTTACTCGAATCACTTATTTAGTTTTCTATACAGATATCCCTGACTGGCAACATTTTGATCCTATCTTGGGTTTGGATGGCCCACAACACTGTTATCCCGATATTGTTGAATTGATGCAAAAGCACAAGCATTAATATCAGTGTTGGAGTCTCTGGAGAAAACAACATCTCAGCCACTTGCCTGTTTCTTGAAATCTTAGCACATAGCTTTCTAAATGGTGAGATTATTAGAAAACAAATTATACATACCCTTTACATAATTTCCAATATTAAATATTTCGTATTTTCTAGTTCATTACTTTTATTCTTGTTTGGTTCATTACTTTGCTTGATTGCTTATTTTATAAAAAATCATCTAAATCAAAGTTTTCTGAGTAGATTAGCTCATATATTATCAGTGTTCTCTATGTTTATATAGATAGTTGCTCCAAGATACCTTTGAAGAGATTTCTGATGTATCTGATTTTTCCCCCCTCAAATGCTCTATTCTGCTGAACAATGTGGCTCAACAAAAACTTTTGTTGTAGGAAATAGTTTTATAGACTAGGTTTCTTTTATTTCATTATTCTAGCTAAACTGGCACTTTAAACATGTATTATACCTATAAAAATGTTCTCTTAGTCTGCTTTACTGTATTTTATTAAGATAGGTAAAAGAGTGATCTGCCAGTATACAGTAGATGCTGGACAATATATGGCATTCTTTAAAATTCAAATTCTCTGCTATTAGAAGCTTTGCTAATATTGTTATGCTTTATAATCTGTGACTGTATAGTTTCATGATTAATCCTGACCCTTTTTATATTATAGTCTATAGACTAAATATTTTTACCATTTTGTTTTTTTTCTTTCTCTAGTGAGTGTTCTGCATCAATAAAACCAGAAACATCCATGTGCAAGCAGTGTGTGAGAAAATGGGGAAAAGTATGGAAGCAGCAATGTGCTGTTAAACATGCATTTGTACATCCACTTTGAAATAATCTACACTGGCTGAACCAGGGGTAGAATCAAGCAGGGAATTAGTCTGGAATCTTTACATAGGCACAAGAGAACAAAGTCTGATACCTCTCTTCAATTGCCGTTGAATTTAGTTTGACCAGGTGCAAACTGCCAGCCTGGGAACATTGTTGTGAAATAGGCATTGAGCAGTAAAGTAGTTAATTTGAACTCTTCATATGTAGGTTTGTTTGTTGTACCTAACACACACAAACAAAAGAGACCAAGCTTGTGTTGTGATTTCAATGCTGCTATTTTCTTATTTTGACCAAGGTCTCCAATTCTACAGATGCTTCTGAAGAAAACAGTTAAAATGCTCCAGGCCTAATCTTGGGCCTTCTGATCCTTGTCACTGACTGTATTTTACCTCCCAGATGCAGATTCAAATCTAGATGCATCCAAATGAGTGCCAGAAATATACAGGTCATCCTCATAAACTCCTCCTCAATATCTCATCATTACTCAATATTAATATTAGGAGAATATCCCAATGTTATAAGCATTTTGCTTATAACATTGAGATATTCTCCTAATTCTATAGCTAGGAACAACAATATACGTACAGCCTCACATTGTTTCTAATGTGAAACAAGTCTCTAAATTCAAAGCAATGTACACCTAGATAATGAAAGTTTTACTTTTCTTTAATTGAAAGCACTGGGGATGGACGTTGCTCTTACAATATTTGCTTTCTTTTTGTAAACTGTCCCTGTTCAGTTTATGTGCAAATCCCCATAGGCAGGGAAGTATCTCTGATACATATGGAGTTATCTTCTACTAATGGAGGGTCACACAAAATAGGATAGAGAGATAAGATACTCCTATCTTCTTCCCCTTTCATGGGCCTAGGGCTATAATAATGAATAGGTATAAAAAAATAAGCAAAATGGAAGACTTGCATGATTAGGAAATGAATGAGTACTGTGAATGATTACTTTGAGGTACTCCCAGACCCACTAATTCTTAGCTGCCCAATTTCTTACCTCTACTAAGAACTTGTACTTTAACATTTTGAACCTTAGCATTTTGAATATTCAAATAGCATTCAACTAATCTATATGGTCTCTTTTTCTCCCTCCCTATGTTTACAACTGCATTAACTGGTTGATTATGAGCAATCCTACAAAACATTAAATCATCTGTTTCTCTTTAATAATAGCTTGCCCCCTACTGTTTTGTCTTAGTTTAAAATAACTTAGTTTAATAGCAACTTATCTTCCCACGATGTAACCATGCTTCCTGTGTGGCTGGCATCTTGGAGATATATATTTCTTGCAGATTTCCCTTCACTAAGCTAACTGCTGCATGGTGTAGCTAATTATGAGCAATCCTACCAAAGCTCAACCCACCTGTTTCATAATTTCTAAGCCATAATTTTATATCTGGCACATAATAAAATATGGTGCTCTTAAAATCACTGTCTCATCCATAGTGGATTACATTCTAGTCCTTCTGTAGCATCTCTTCAAAATGTTTATGGAATAACCAAGTAATATACATTATATTAGAGACATTGTCTTCAACCTAATACCTTCATTAAATTATGTATTCCATTTTGCTATGATACTGTAAGAGTTTGTTTCTTTCAAGCATCTCTTAACGGAGAGTCAAATGAGTGCAGAATAATTAAACGTTTGGAAGCAACATAATGTCAACTGTTAGGAAAAGAACTTAGCCAAGAGAGAAATGTCCAGTCATCAGTGAAGGCACTGTAAGGCCTTAAGAGCAAAAGCGAGCATATTCCAGAGGAAAGGATTCATGGCCTAATACCTGATTTGTGATCATCGTCATATAATGGGCTGAAAAATATGGTGCCACCTTTTGGTGACATTAGCAACATATTATCATGCTTAGTAAATGCTTTAGTCCAAATTCCACTTCAATGGCTAGGATCAGAATAGAATTTGCTGAACAAATATATGCAGCAAGTGTGCATAGATCAAAAGGAAAGGGAAGCTTGAGAAAAGAATAGTTGAATGTAGTTAATAAGATCCTGAAAAGCAGTGAGATGTTTCAACAGCAAAAGGCCATTATCAACCCTTCAAGTTAGATTAGACTAGGAAAACAATTGCATGTAGGTCAGTACCATTTTATTAGAAAGCTGTAACAGAAACATCTATATGCACTTCTCCCTGCTTCCTTTTATCTTAGGATAAGAAAAGTCTGTGATGTTTACTCACATTATTTTCTTATCCCTGTCTCAAGCCCTCTCTTATCTGACCATTGCTTTGGTGGTGGCTCTTCTTTCTGTCCTTCAAGGCCATTCTCTCTTCCGTCTGCATCCATTTAGAAATAAAAATATAGTCAGGGTTGATACAAGAATGGATTGTACATTTGATAATGGTTAGATTAGTGATGGTTAAATATTGGAGACGGAATTAGGTTATAATGAAATATGGAATATGGCAATAAATGATAAATTAGCAACAGAAATTAAATTTTAAAAAGGGATGATTAAAGTAAATAATTATAATGAAATATGGGATGGTTTTATAAAAACAGTCTTGGTGGAAGGCAAAGGGAATAAGCCTGCTCAAGAATATATGCTGTTTTGGAGGGGATAAGGGCACAATTGAAATATATTGTATATTGTTAGTTGTTATATGAGAAGAAATATAGGTAATAAAAACGGTCTCTACTGTTTTTTTATTTAGGCTTGCATATATTATTTGTATTTGAATAAAATAAAAAAATAACAACAACAAAAAAAGACAAAAATGAAATCTGGGAAGCAAGGTGTCCCATCTAGTGGTTGTTCCCAGTTTTGCTGTTGAGATTGGTGGTTATAAATAAGATTATATTTATATATTATATTCAAAATCAATTCTGATTACAATAATCTTCGGTGCTTTGGTGCTGATATTCCAGCCAGGTGAATGGGTAAGTGAAAGACAGGAGGGAAAATTTCAGTGGGAGAAATGATTCTACTATGGGAGTGATCCCTGTTACAAAAACTAGAGTGAAGGTCTGTTTTGTAATCAGAGCTCCAGTATGGAGCCACCTCCAGTTAATCAAGCATTTGAGTTATGTTCATCATGCAACTCAAGAAACCATGTGCTGCTCCCTTTTGATTCTCTTCAGGCTAGAAAATATAACCTGAAATGAGCTCAAGTAAACTTCTTTATAAACCACAGAACAGGGATAGTTCACTAGAAGCAGGTATAGGCCAACAATATTTCAAAGGTCTGTTTTCCACTAGGAATTCTAGTTCTTTCAAGGAGTTGTTCCTTATCACCAGCATCCACTAATGAAGATTAGGTTTCTGCAAGCTTGGTTAATGTCAGCATTTACATTCAAGCCACTCCCTTAACTCCACTATGTGCATATGCTGACTTGAGTTTATGGAACTCAGTATCTAATCAAGGAGATCGTTAGAGCTAATATAAGCAAGCAAAGAGATTTCACAGCATAAGCATTTGGTCTTGTAGGAAGTCAGCCCCCCAGAGAAGGAAATATTAAAAGGGCAGAAAAATATATTTCCTCAAAGGATCTTAAAGAGCAGAAAAGCATGCCCAGTTTTTTCTTAATAGCCCCAGGTCTCCCTCTCCCAAGCAGAAACCAGCTCTGTAGAAATGCAGATGGAGGCCCCCCAGCTAGAAGATTAAGAAGACAAAGACACCTAAAATCTACATACCCCATCCAAACTCTAAGACAGGACATAATAGGATTAACCCACAGATACCAAAAGAGCACACTCAGACTCAGGTCAAAGTTCATGCCACAGGAACAGGAAACAACTCCAAACAAAAGGCTCCAGAGGGTATAAAAATCCACTCCCTACATGTGCTCTCTCTCTTTTTTCTGCCAGAGCCATCTTTCTGTCTGGCTCTCCTCTTCAATAAACTGCAATATTCTTTCTAAAGCAGTCACCATGTTGTTTATCCCCGGCTTGGACTGAACCACGATGAAGACTTTGCTTTTAACAGTCTTAAGAGCCAGTCTTTAAAAAGTGGGTAAGAATTGGTTTAGCAAATAATGTGGTCTGCTGTTTCCAAGCACATCCAAATAAATAACTTACAATGGTCTAAATTCTTGAGAATTCAAATATCTTGTAAGGACCCACCCCACTTTACATCTTAAGAAGACAGAACTCTCGGAATATCTCTTCCAACAGGCATCTTTATTAAGAGAAGATGGTTG